GTCTAAGTAGACGTCCACCACCCACCTTCCCATGGCATCCTCATTCACACTCTGGTCACTGCTTCCTGGAGGCCCACCCAGGTACAAGGCCAGCGGCCTCCCCCACTCGGCTCCCCCTCCCAATCTCTTTGTCATTGAGATGCTGGCATCAGCTCTCCCTGGGGTAGCAGCTCATAGCGATTACACCTTCATTCCTGTGGGTCTTCTTAGCATTCGAAGGTGACATCAGATCCTCGGTCTTCACTAGGACTCTGCCAGAGAAGGGAGTTGTTATTACCTTCCCTTAACAGATTACTGCCTCGAGGCTGGGGTGGGGGTGGGGGGTTGGGAGGTGGGTGGTACCAGCCTGGAGTTCCTTCCCCAGGTTTCAGGCCTAGGCCAATGCCTGGCAGCAGAAGGGCAGGGTGTGGCCCCAGATGCTGGGGACAGGGAAAGGCCAAGCTGCAGTGGACTCGATGTCAGTTCAGTGACCCAGGCCTATCAGAAAGAGAGTGGTTCAAATAAGGGACTACCTGGAAGAGGGAGAGGTGAGAGCCCAGTGCAAGGGAGTGCAGGGAACCCCGGCTTTCCGGCCCCCCTGCCCAAAGCATAGCTCTCTGGGTCTAAGCGTGGCCCAGACACAGGCAGGCTCAGGGGTCTTAGGCCTCCCTAGCTGCACCTGTCCCAAGGTGGAGATTCAGCCCCAATGCCTGAGGAGAGCCTCTCGCAGTCCTGCCTCAGGAAGCCGCTCTGAGCAGATGATCTTCAGAGCTGCTTAGAATGGCAGGCTGCCCTGGCCCTTGGCTACACCAGGGAGCCAGGGAACAAGGAGAAGATGGCTGTGAGGTGTACAGCACTGCCTGCTGCTGACCAGGCATGTGCCCTTGGGCAAGTCACTTCCTCTCTCTCTGGGCTGCTGTCTGTGCACAATAGAGAAGTGCCCCAGCTCAGGTGTGAGGGGCAAATGGTGCACAAAATGGCCACCAGTGGTCACTGGAGCTGTTTCCAGGAACAGCGTGGTGTTGGATTTTTTTGGAGGGCGGGGAAGTTGCATTGCTGCCCAGGCTCCAGGTTTTATTTAAATGTGTATCTATTGGGGCGGCTTTTGGGGAGAGGCTGGTGGAGATGATGGGGTTGAGGGTCCCCACTCCCTGAGCTAGGCCTGGGCAGTCCTACTTGCCCACTCTCCTGCCCGCACCAGCACACCGGGGAGTGGGGGCTGGGCATCCTTCGAAAAGTCCAAAGCCCCAAATGGGTGGACATATGGTGATTTCATCACCCTGGCTTTTCATCCAAAAACCTTCTCTGTGCTGCTCCAACACGCCGTAGGGCTCCCACACTCCACAGAGGCTGCTGCCCCATGTGGTTTTATAATTAACAATCCCTCTGGGCTCACAGGAAGCCAGGCCAGAGCCCCCTCTGCCACCACCCCTCTGGCCCATGGACGCCACCAAGTCTGTGAGCTGCTTCAGGGAAGGGTGGGTCCTGCCTGCTTTGTTCTAGGAGTAGGGTGGGGTGCTGGACTCTTGGCACTGACCCTTACTCCCACCCTGACCGGCCGCCCTGGGGTGCTCAGCAAAGGCGGCCACTCAAGTCTGACACCCTAGGGTCCCGGTCCCTATGAGGCAGGGGTTCCTGCCTGCATTTGGCGGGGAAAGAAACAGGATCAGAAGGGGCAAGGACAGCAGTCCCAGTGAGTGGCGGAGCCGGAGTTTGAACCCCCGCCTGTCTACCTGAGGCCTGCCCTCTGTGTGCTGTGAATGCTGAGAGGCAGAACTGATGGCTGGGTGTCCTAACCTGTCATAGCCTGGTTGCCTTGGGCAGGTTCAGTGACCACCCCACTGGAATAAGAACAGGACAGGGGGTCAGATGTGTGGTAACATTTTTGTTTACTAAGTAGCAAAAGAAATATTTATTCTGATGAGATCCCCCATGGAGCCTCGTGATAAAACAAGGCTGCCATTGCTTCCTGGGTCCTGGGCTCTGAGAAGACACATAGGCAGATGGCCTCAAAGGCCTCTTACTGCACAAATTCTGGGTGCTGGGTTTAGAATCAGCCCTCCTGTACCCAGCCTCTGAAGCGGGGGCCTTTTACCCAGGATCCTGGCCAGCTAAGGTGCTGGGGAAGAGGTAGAGACAGGTGCTGCCCACCCCTAGGGTGGCCACACCTTTGTCCAAACACACTGGCCCTCCCTGAATTCTCATTACAGCTGGGAGAAGACCACCAACGTATAAAACTCAAACCAGGGGCCTGAGCTCTGGGGCAGCACGGAGGGGAGGGGACAGACACCCGCCCTCAGCCACTCCTTTAAGTCTCAGATCAACTCTTGCTTTCTGGGACGGACTTAGGGGGTTCACCCCACACTCCCTGCCATCCCATGCTGGCGGGCAGTGTGGAGAGTGTGGGATGTTCTAGAAAGCCCCTAGGTGGCGGGCTCATCGAAAGGGGTGGAGTGGGCCGGGCCACGCTTCTCTCTCATTCCAGGAGAACTTGGAGTTTTGTGTTTTCCTTATGCGCCACCACTCGGGTGACCCCTGGAAATTGAGGGACTGCACCAAGTCTTCAGGGCCCTGTGCTAGAGTGACAGCACTTAATCTTCCGTGTGGGTTTCTCCAATCTGAGTCTATACTGCAAACTTTGGTGGTGTGTGTGGGGGGGGAAGGGGGGTGAGCTGTAACCTTCATCTTCCCTTTGAAAGGGTACTCTGGATTAGTGACTCAGTGGAGCTCACAGCCTGGTCAGGCAGACCGGATGTGAATCTCATCCTGTACACCTGCTCTTCCTGTCTCGGGTTCTTGGCTGTGAAATGGGAAGACCACCAACCTTCCCGGTCATGAGGGTCAAGGTGAACCCAGCACAAGGCACCAGTCAGAGTGCTCCCAAGAGGGCTGACGATCAGGTACTGACCATCAGACTAGAAGCCTGCCTTGCAGGCTTGGCCTGGCCCTCGGAGCCCGTGGGCACCTGCCTACCTGTTCACATACCGTCTTTTGCCATAAGTGCCTGGAGCACGCTCCACCCCGATTACACAAGTCTAAATCCTTCTATGGCACTGCAGCTCCCAATTTGTCACCCTTCCCTCTGCTGGTACAAATAGTCCCCCGCCCCCCATCTGTGGCATGACTGGCCCCACCCTCAGTAATTGTATTTTTGTCAGTCCATCTGCTCATCTGAGTAACAGCTTCACTGTCAGTAACTCACCCTGGGGCCAGCACTCCCTTGTCTGCCTGACCCCTCCGAGTGCCAAGAGCCCTGTGGGCGCCCACGTCTGTCCCCAGTGAGGGCAGGGCCCAGGCTGGAGATACTGGTAAGGTGTCGGGTGCCTACTCCGACCCGAGGGCAGGAGCCTAGTGCTATCATCAGGTTTTCCCGACTTCTTCACCCCATCCTCTCCTCAAACTACCGCTCAGCTCCCACCGAGCACAAGCCCCGTTTGCAGGCCTCACTCTATTAAGTGGAGGTGGCGGCTGCCACAGAGTGTGGCTGGGCAGGGTCTGCCACCTCACCCTGGCCGTCTTGCCAATCCGTTCCTGAAGGCACTGTGGGAACAGCTCCCTGGGAGAGACAACAAAGGACCGGAGCCAACTTTGGCACAATTAAACTTTTTAATGCAAGAAAAAAAGTCTCGTCTTAGTTGCTTTTTCTTCCCACAGGTTAAGCGTGGATAAGCCACTGCACCTGAAACTGAATTCTCGTCGCTGCGTCTCCATCCTCACCTAATACCATATGGAACGTTGGGCCAAGGCTGGCTGGACGGGACCAGGCCAGTTCCTGGCCACTCAGACCCAGCCGATAGAGGCCTGGAGACAGCACTGGGAGGTACGCGGGGGTTCAAGAGGTCAGCGGAGGAGTCCCTGCCACAGTGGCTCTGCGATGGCTCTAGGCCTCGGCAGCAACCACTGGCCAACAAGTACATCCAGGCCTGAGGCTGTGCTTGGACAGCCTGGCTGAGGCAGAACTGAGGAGGCCTGAGCGGGCTGCTTGCTGGCTCGTGTTTATCGCTCTGCCTGGGGAAGGGGTTGTTCCAAGGACAGCCAAGTCACGTGCTGCCCTTCTTTGCTCAACAGGAGGAAAGCAGGAGAGGGCTTCCACGGGAAATGGGGGGATGACAGAGGGAGGGGGCTGGGTTGTCCCTGGTCTCTGTCTGGCCACTAGGCTGGGTGGGGCTGGAGCACCAAGCCATACCAGGTTCATGAGGACCTCCTGCCCACTCAAAGGTGGGGCAGAGATGCACCAGAATGTTCCAGGAAAGTGAGAGGGTGCGGCAGGAAACACCACCTCTGGGGTCCCCGGCCGGGTGAGCTCTGCATGCACCCATGTCTAACGGCTCCTGGGTAGAGCTGCTCCTTGGTTGGAGTGTGGGAAAAGAGACAAAAATCACAGCTTCAGAACAAGTGGTTGGGAAGTTACTGGAAAATTCGGTCAAGTATAAAAGGTGTCACTTCTCAGAACCAAAAGTAGCTTATATATTTTTCTGGAAGATGTTCTCTCGCACCCGCCCATTCCCTTAAACCACCCCAAAACAGGTAGCTGGACCTTGCTTCTGTGACTGCCGAACGAGGGGCGGGAGGACGTGAGAGCGGAGCAGGGCCTGTGTGCAGGGCCCAGGGCAGGGGAAGGCACAAGAACCAACTGACTCTGGGGGCACGGGGAGGAAGCCCCTGGCCCGATGGAGCGACTCGGCTTACAAACATACGTGACCAGGCGTTCCTGTCCACACAGCCCCAGGGCCTGGCAGCTGCCAGGAGGGGCGAGCCCGGAGTGGTCACGGTGGCAGGATGTGCTGCATAGGCAGAGCGGGGCAAGGACAGAGAACAGAGGCTGTGTGCGTGTGGGCGAGGGGCCACCAGGCGGAGGGGGAGGCAAGAAAGAAGGCTGCCTCTAACGTTATATATTAAAAATATCCATAGTTCTTGTGCATAAAATTCCATCATTCACATATGAGCATGACCCCTGCCTCCCTTACTGGGCCCAGGAACAGCCTTAAAAGAAAGATGGTGGTTTTCCTTTTCAAGAGCTGAGGAAACAGCCACTCAGTCTTTATGGACCTTGAGAACTGGTGACCCATCCCCTCCCCCCAGTCTCTGCCTGGCTGGGCACTGAGATGGCTGGGCAGGTAGGGGCTGCTGGTCACTCGAGCCTCCGCTTGGAGGGTGGGATCAGGTGTGGAGGCAGGTCGGTGGGCAGCTCGTGGCCCTCCAGCTTGACTTTGATGAGGTGGTTGGCCAGGGCAAACTCCTCATCGTCCAGCAGCCCGTCCTTGTCCACATCGGCCAGCTTCCAGATCTTCCCCAGAACCGTGTTGGGCAGCTTGGACTTCACCATCTCCTTCTTGGCATTGGCACCTGTAATCTTGCCGTTGACAGGTGACAGCGTATAGAAGATCTCGTCATAGGTGGGCTTGTCCTTGCCCACCACCCACTCGATGTCATCGATGCCTTCACCGGCCCCCTCGCCGTAGCCATGCCCAAAGGGCCCGTTCATGGTGCCATCAAAGGCGCCACCCTTCACGGCCTGGGAGGGCATCAGGGACTCCTCCTGACGAACCATCACCATCAGCCGGGCAATGTCATTGGCCAGCATGTCATCCACTGTGTCCAGCAGCTTGGGTTTCAAGGCTTGGAACTTGCTGAAGTCCTGGGTCTGCAGCAGTTCCTGTGGTGGGTGGAGAGGAAGAAGGGTGGGTCTTCCTCCTAGGAGACTGGAGAGCATGCGGTTTCCCCCCAGACTCCGGGAGGGGTGGGCAAAGCAAGGGTTCTCGCGAGAGCGCACGTTCTGGGTCACTGCCCCAACCACTTAGCAGCTTGGGCGACTTGTTAACCGCTCTGGGCCTTGCTCCCCGGTCTGTAAATTGAGAGGTAAGAACAGTCCCTTCCTCAGAAGGCTGTGGTGAGGATTAATTGGGATGAGGCCAGAGTGCCCGGCACAGCCCTGTCCTCTTCCCCACCGCCTGGGCTGAGTCACCACATTCCCCTCTCAGTGTCAGGACATGGGTCAACATCTCTGATTTGGGTGGAGTACTGGTGATTAACCCAGCTGCTTCCATTTTGGGAGTCCCCACCCCACGGAGAACCACTCCTGACTGCCACCAGCCAGCTGAGGGCGCGGGACAGCTGTACCTGCATCTTTCGGAGGCTTGGGAAGTCTCCGGCGGAGATCTGATGCTCCCGCTCGATCTTCGCGTAGATCTCTCCCAGGTTGCTCACCAGCTCTTTCTTTTTGCTCTCTTTACCGAAGACGTTGGGCATCTCCTTCTTGAGGGAGCTGATGATGTAGGCGTGGACCTGTGCGGACAGGGATGGAGCAGACGTCAAGGGCCGCTTGGACACCTTGTCAGGAGCAAGGCCTGTGCCTGGGCTGGTCCACCCCGAAAGCTGGGATCGTAACCCAGGAGGCTGAAAGCCGTCCAAAGGCTCCACCATCCTGCATATGCAAGCATGTGGACGCTGATGTTGAGGCCACAGAACTCCAACACGGCCTGACTTATACTATATTTTATTATCATGACAGCCTCAGGGATGACTAAGGACTAGAAAAATCCTACAAGGCTTTCCCCAGATGTTTCAAGCTTTGTCTTAGCTTCAATACCTTGCTCAGACGTTTTCCAATTCAGGGCGGCACGCCCTTCATTTCCCCACATCGGGCTGAAAATGCTGGCACCCTCCAAGGGCACCAGCCCTCCGGTCTTGCTCCCTTTCCCCCAGACTCCACCCCATCCAATCCCCTCCACTGGCCTGACCCCGTCCGCCCTGGGCCAGGAGCCCGGCTGAGATTGGCTCGAGGGGAGAAGGCCTGTCACAGAGTCGCAGTCACTGCTCTGCCAGCACAGGCCAGCGCAAGCCAGCGCAGAGAGAGCTACTCACTCCAGGAAAAGGAAATGGTCTCGGACCAGCAGGCGGGGGACAAGACGGGAGAGCATGGGGTTTCCCAGGCATGGTGACTCAATGAGCCCGCAGGCCAGACAATTACACACCGTTTCTGTAAATGAACAGGCGTGGACAGAAGTCCACCCGCTGTGCTGTCCTGGAAGGGGGCCAGGCCAGAGCACAGCAGCCCTGCTGGGAGGGGGCTGGGCAGGGAGAAGGGGGCGCTGCCCTTCCCTGCGGCCTGAGCAGGGGCCGGACCGGTCTCTTCTCTATTCGCTGCCGGTCCCGCTTCGGCTCAGGATGTGCCTCAGTCCTTGGAGGCCGGGAGCCAGTTACTCAGGTTTTCTCATGGGATCTTTTCTTAGAACCAGCTTCACTCACCAAGAAGGTTCCAGAAGTGAGATACCTAGAACAATGTGAAGCCCTGTATCCTCCAGAGCAGGCTTCTGCAACTTCACTAAGCAT